ATTCAATTTAATAAAATTATTTATTAATAAATGTGTAAAAAATAACTTCGACAAAATATCTTGTCGAAGTTGTAACTTGATCTATTTTTTCTGTCAAAGTTGTAACTTCGACAAAATTGTTAACAAAGTTATAACTTTGTCAACCGGTGTAACTTCGACACGACATATATATTGTTAATGAAACATGTAAAAAAAAAATAATAATGATTAAGCACGTCAAAGCTTAGTGAACACCGTTTTTTTTCATTTACTTACCAAATAATTAATACAATATCAAAAAACTTAAATCTAGAAAAAATGAATTCATCTCATATTACAGATGTTCATCGTATTGTCCTAGAACGGCAAAAGTTTATACAGAATCTCATTGCCTACAAGAGACTGAATAACTGATAAAACATTTTAAACTTCTTTGTCATTCATTCATATAAAATATATTGAATTATTTCTATTTTTTTTTGTTTCTTTTGAAATACATATTCTAATTTTACCTCCAACTTTACACGCATAATTTCCATTAACAAGACAATTTCTTGCAGCTAAATCTCTATGGACAAATTTTTGATCTGATAAATAATACATTCCATCAGCAACATCTAATGCTAATTGAATCATTGCCGATTCAGATAATGTTGGACCATTTGGCTAAAACAAAATAAAAATTTATTAATCTTTAAAAAAACAAACACTAAATCAATTATATATCATACATTAACTTCACTTTGTCGATGTCGATAAAGATAATTTTTTAAATCTCCATTTACTATTAATTCCATAACAACATAAGGTGGTCGAATACGTGAATATATTCCATATAATTGAATAACATGATAACATCGAAATTGTCCATGAAAAATAAAGAAAAAAAAATTAGAAGAATTTCTTGTTTTTCTTGTGTATAGTCTCAACAAACTTCATTATTAATGCTTCTTGTAATAAATCAGTTGGATGTGTTGTTCGAACCTTTAAAAAAAAACAAATCAGATTGATTTTATTCTATAAAGAAAAATCTAATTGTTTACTTTAATTGCACATGGTTTTAATGTTCCATCTTGTAATTTCAAAACACCTTGATAAACTTGACCAAAATGACCTTGACCAATAAGTTTATCTAATGTAACAGACTAACAATTTCTCATCGATCAGGTGTATATAATTCTAAAGATGATATTCAAAACAAAAAAAACAATGAATCAAACAAAGTAAAAAGTTAACAAACCATAATTTGGATTTTTTGAAATCGAAGCTTTTTGATCACTTCAACTATATTTATAATAATAAAGTAATGCATCAATTAGAAATAATAATAAAAGTGTAGTTAAACCAGTTATTAATATAATTACTAATAAACGATTTTGTCGAGTTAATTCATTATCTAAAATTTATTTATTCTTAATCAATAGAATGTCTCAAAGACAAAAGTAAGTACCTTTTTCCATTTCAGCTTTTCATTACTTAATCCGTTGTTTAAAAAAAAAATATAGCACCAGATCCAGCGTGAAAAGAACTACAATTTACAAGGTAAAGCTTATTTTAATTGTGTACTTTTTGTTTTCAAAAAAGGCAAAATTCTGTGCAACCAATTTTCGACGCTGCGAAAAAATCATTTTTTTTCTATGCGAACGAGAAATTCCTTTCTTCTTATTTGAATAAACTGTTCTGTGTAAATTGTAGAGCTTTGCACGCTGCATCTTGTGGTATGTTTTATTTTTTTTACAAAAACATAATAGCTGATAAACAGATGAAATAAGAAAAAAGGAATTTCTCGTTCGCATAGAAAAAAATGATTTTTTCGCAGCGTCGAAAATTGGTCGCACAGAATTTTGCCTTTGTTGAAAACAAAAAGTACACAATTAAAATAAGCTTTACCTTGTAAATTGTAGTTCTTTTCACGCTGCATCTTGTGCTATATTTTTTTTTTAAGACAACAGATTAAGTAATGAAAAACTGAAATGGAAAAAGATACTTACTTTTGTCTTTGAGAGAATTTGAGAAAAAGAAAAATAGCAAACATTTAGACTCCGGGATGACGATTACGGCTATCTATATTTTTCGCTGTGTATGGTACAAAAACAGGCCGTATTTGCCCATAATACGGCACAATATACAATTCACCCACGTTGAAGAGAATGGCAAAACCTACGTCTTTACGTCGTCGTAATATGGCGTTTCCTACGTTTGGAATAATCAATCTTGGGTAGGCCCAACAACAGTAATTCCGGTCGTCGAGATGACTGCCAGAAAAATGATATTGTCTAGTGTCATTTTATACAGTTTCTGGCCATAAAAGTCTGTAAATTGATGTCTGTTAGGCACAGTCTTACAATCATATTCTATCATGCTATACGCAGTTAATAACAGTCTAGAAATCGCGTATTCGATTGTTTAACATTCAGTGAAATACGTTTGTAATTATTGTGCCTATCAAACAGGGAGAAAAAAATCATCCAAAACGACTGCTGACGACCCCACCCTATGTATCCTAGAGTCCATTGGATCCAAAATTCTCGAACCCGGGACCAATCTGACGGACTTTTATGTGTGCCTTATGCTCATTAAACACGATTGTAAAACACCGGCCTGGTTTACGGTAGAATTCAGTGTGTAAACTAAGCGTATTATGCGACTAGACTAGCAGGTTAGTTTCACATAGATTCTATTGATCTTACTTGATAAATCTATTGTTGTAAAAATTACTTCAAAAAATAAATCTGTTGAATTAAATGAATTCAGTTCACCATTGATTTGTTCACTATCTCCATATTCATTATTTAATCTAGCTACTGTATATGTAATTATTTTTAAACGATATGTTGTTCTTGGTAAAAGTGTTACATTAATTGAATTATACATCATGTCCAACACAAAGTTCTTCTTTTGGTCCATTATTACTATTTTGTCCAATATGTATAATATAAAAATAAATAAGTCCATTTGGTTCTAATGATTCTAACCATGATATTTGATAAGTAAGTGATTTTTCATTAGTTGTTAATTGATCAGAATCAACAACTTGAACATCACGTACTAAATTACGAGATGCTAGAAGAAAAAGAGAACAAAAAAGGAAAACTAATTAGTAAACGAAATAATGTATTTAGGGAAGAAAAACAATTTTCATAGGAAAATTTTAACCAATAACAATGAATGATCCCATCAGATTCATCCATTTAAGTCTGATAGAAAATTTCTTATCAGTCGTCTAGATTTTTCTTTTCTGAAGAAATTCATTAAAAAAGCTGTGTCTGTTTTCTACGAATCAGATTGATCAATTTAATTAACTTTCAAATATTTTTCTAAAAATATTTTATGAGCTCATTTCAATTTCTACTTATGTTATCAACGTAAAAACAAAGAATTATTTAGTATTCCAATTTATCACTCTTTGCCACTATTCACAACTTATAATTCCGTATATCCAGATGAATGAAGTGTAGTCAGTTCCAGTCAAAAACTGGTAGGAATTTGAAAGTGAGAATCCGATGATTCGCTTTACTGGCCGGATATTTTCAGCTTTGACCAGGGCCAGCACTAGATGGCTGCTTCCTAATGTCTACCATTTTTTACCTAGAAACAGCATCTTTCTTGCGGTTTTTCGTCGAAAATTTACGGTTCCTGGGTCCGGCATTATTGACCTTAATATTCAAGATAACATCAAGATAATTGCTGCATAGTCAGCAAATCAAAGAGACTAAATAATGAAAAGAGAATTTTTCTTTATATTTTAATGGTCAAGCGTGTGATGATATGACTGATTCACTAGTGACTTTTTGCTTGTTATATAATGAGAAAAGCGAGAAATGATTCATAACGATCGATCAACTAGTACAATCTGATCGTTTAGATCAGTCCCTATTAGAGATCTAAGTCTCGCCCATTGAAACCTCTGTTAAGAGTCATAAATAACTTTCATTAGCATGACAAGTCAAATTATTTATTGAGAAAAGTTTAAATTAGATGGCTGGCCCATGAGAATCCATGAGTGGGCTATTTTTTAAGAAAAAAAAACATGGACCGAACTAGGTCAAATGTCTATAACTTATAGGTCAACTTTCTTTGGCTCAGTTTAACTGATTGAAACTTCTGGTCTCTAGAGGAGGAAGAAAAAACCGTGTGCCCTTATAACTTCGCTTAGTAGACGTGGAAGTCATTTCTTATTCTATATATTTTTATTGATAACTTTATGATTAGTTTTCTATACCGTATGTCGAAATGGAGCTATACTTTAACTCAGAAGCTATTTTATTTTGGTACTGATAGTAACTTCTCTTATTTTTTTTTAAGATCTAAAATGTTTTGATCAGTCTAATAAATTGAATTTCATGGAAAAAAACGAAGAACTTTTCTTTGATTCATTAAAATAAATAAAATACATACGATCACCGAGTTTTGTTCTAACAGCTAATATAATTCCATTAAGACTACAAGCATTAGATAAAGATTGTTTTGATATATCATGACATGAATAGACTTGAAACATATACATTTGTGCTTCTTTTAAATCATCAATAATAATTTTTGTATCGGATACAATTTGTATATAGAGATCAATATGTGGTTTCTGTTCAACAACGGGTTGTTCTTGAGAATCTGATTTACAATTATCATTAAATGCACTACTTTTATCTTCAAAATAATGATCTAAGTCATTTATAATTGTTTCTTTAAGTTCTTGACGAATAAACAATGGATCTTTTCGTTGGCTTACAGAATTAATAAGCTGATATTCAAGTATAGATAAATCCGTAACAACTTGATCAATACTTGTATTTTCTTCATTTTCATCATCTATGTCATCATCATTATTTGTAATCGAATGAGATATACGAGATTTTGGTCGTGAACATCGTGCTGATTGTGTGAGATTTATATGATTTAGTTGAACAGCTTCTTCTGATCACCAGCGATCCCAAATAAAAAAGAAAAGAAAACTACTTATTCTTTTGTCATGTATCAATTCGTATTGGTTTTTTGTTTTTTTCTTCAATTTACCTTTCATTAAACAACGTAATTTCGAATTATTTACTGGTAAACGATCTTCCATTGGTGCATAATAAACAAGATAATTGATTATTGGACCATTAGGTTTTGATGGTGGTTGCCAGACTAATTCAATTGTTGAACGAGATAATGATTTACCACGTAAATTAAGTATAGGTTCAGGTTGACGTGGTAATGTACGAAAATAAGCAATTGGAGAAAATAAACCGATTCTATTAAGATTTGATGTTATAGATGCATAAACTGCATACCATTCACCACCAAGTAGTGATGTTAATTGCGCGCTCATTGTAAATGAATCACCTAAAAAAGAACCATATGTTGAATTTCATTAACTGTTATCTTCTTTTTTTAAAGACTATAGACATACATTACATAAGAGATGTGCAGAGTAAACTTTTTTTCTCGTACTCTGTACCTTGACCAAAAGAAAGATGGTTAAATGGCTTTGACTCACAAACGGAATATATGTAGGTTAGCAGCGAAAGACTTCCTCTATAGCCTACATAGATCTCATTATTGGGTCAAATAATCATCGTGGTACTTATATTTACCTTTTCTAACCATAACCCTATACTACTCTGCATACATCTACATTACATATAGTAAGTCGAAAACAATTCAGATCTACAATAATGAGCTCGAAACGGAGATGTTTGTCAAAAAATTTAGTAGAATCTTGGCACCTCGAATATTTTTAAAAAAACTTTGTTGTTTTTCATTAAGTATATAATTCATTGACAGACAAGTGTCAGTTCAAGAAGAGAAGCTAAATTGAACATAGAAAAGTAATACTTAACGAAGAGGACAATAATTAATGTGAAGGGTTAGAGCGGGTGTGGGTGTATGGGTGTGGGTTTGGACGAAGGAATGATCGATACCCACACCACGCATCCTACACCCAGACCTACATCCACCCACACGCACCCACGCCGACCCCCACCCCCACCCCCACACCCCACCCAAATTATCATGTTTTCCACTGTAAACTTCCTATAGCGTTATAGATATTCTAACCAATAATTTATGAGATAAGCAAAAGCTAATTTCTTTCTCACACAGCTGAAGACCAGAAGTTTGTCCCTCTGTCTATACAATACCGGGAACATGTCGACCGAATTCATTTTGAAGCAGATATCTTCCGATGTGGACTGTTAAATTGGCGATTCCAATTGAGTCTTGTGGGCTCACTAACCATACCGAGCAAAGATTGTGTACTCCAACATGTTTGTAGCCAAGTGTTTTGGCAATCATACGTAATCTATTGTTTGTAAACTCAGTCCCGTGACCAATCCCTCCAAACTGCATATTGAGCAATTTAATGGGATGTTTTTGTGCCAGACCCAACAGTAGAGCAGGACTGAGCAGAGCATCTTGATCAACTCGCAATACCCATTGGTAATTGATCGTTGCTCGTTGATAGTGTGACGTTAACATGAAAGCAATCGATGTCATGTAAAGATAATCCTTCCAATTCCAAATAATTTGATCTTCCATTCTTTTATAAAAACAATCGGGAATTAAATTGAGCTTGTGGTCATGGGAAAGTGGCACACAGGTCAGTGGTAATTGATAGCAACTGGGAATTTCACAGAATACAATTAAATCAACAATCACTTTCTCTGATAGCGGAGAGAATATTTGAATGAAACGCCATGATTCGTAAAGTAGATGAAATTCGGCGATGTGCGACGTCTGTTTGGAGAGTGATAAGACTACGGCGACGTGAACAATCTCTGATTTCGGGATCGACGAAGGCAAGATACGTGAATAACTCGGCGTAGAAGGAGAAGATAAAGAGGAGAGCAAGCATGGGAGAGAAGTAGAAGAAAACAAGGTTGAAATGGAAGAAGCTTTAATCTTGACAGGAGTAACATTTGTAGAAATGGGATGTCGATTTTCACAATAGAATCGACTAGTCCGCCAGACCAAAATGAGCAGCAAAGTAAGGAAAAACAGTCTCAGTTGAGTAGAGAAGGTAAACCTCATCTAGATCGATGTGAAAATAACCGATTTTTTCAAATCATCAAGGCAAAATTACAACTGTAAGCCACCAGTAGTCAAACGAAACAGGCAAACATAGGAGAGCGAAGAATCAATCATAACATTAACTCAGAATCTAGAACAAGAAAACGATCTTAGAAATATAAATGTTTCTGCAACATTTCAGGTTACGTTTGAGACCATTTATTTCTCAGTAAGAGAATACACTTCAAGTATCAACATATCGACGCAATACGTGGAAGAAAGCTGTTCATTCGACTTTTGGGACCTATGACATTCAACTGATACTGGGATCCTGCCAATTGAGCCGTTTCTATATCATGTTTGTTGAGTTCTTCAAGTTTCGTCTTGGCCACTAACGTTGTTTAAACGAAATGTGAGAGGTTATTTGGTCGTATGTTTCAATTAGTCGTGCGATAACTGGTTGAGTACATGTGTAGCATAAATTCACTCAGGAGAGTAACAATCTAGAAAGATTATCTGACGGGAAAACTATGACTCGGATCGATATGTTGACACATGATAGTTTCTTGCTTGGTAGAATAGGTTTATAATGAGTTTAGCGTCGAAAAAAAATAAGAAATTGTTGATTAACCAATGCTGTTATTTTGTGTATGTTTGTCAGCTTCTCTCTTGTCTACTTGAAGCGCTGATAGAGCGAGAGAAAAATAATGAAAAGAATGTATGTGTGTGCGCAATGCTGAGAAAAGAATCGTAAAGCAGCAAGATGCAGCCGATTGTATGGTTTCAATTGAAGGAATATGATTAAAGACTTTCCGATGCACATTTCAGTTCATCATTGCTTACTTGATTGTTCACAGAAGAGCAGATGTTTTCCTATCATCTATCAATGATGACTCTTGAGTTGTTCCGTAGTTTTCATATCGAAGTCTAAGAGACTACAACTGCCAAATACTTTTACAGACAGAGCGACCTAGTCAAACGCGTCAAGAACTAGCAATAGTAGAATACAGCAAGTTATCATTTGTTGATTGTCTTGTTTGTTGGTGTCGAAAATGCACATGAAGTAAATTAAATAGAAAAATAATCCGAATGTGGATGTGGATATGGTAACCAGGCATGTCTTCATCTATAATTACATTCCCACAACTTTCTTCTCAGTTGATGAATTTCAATCTGTAATTGATTTAATTGTTCATGTACCATTATATCGATACAAGATGTAGATAAAGATTATAGTTGAATATATTATCAGTTGATGCACTTGCTATCATATTTTCCGACATGAACAGTTGTTTGATTTATGAGTGACTTAAAATTACATGAAGGAGAAAAAAACGATGGGGAATCTTTCAAATAAGACTTAAGAGTATTTTCACCACCTTTATGGATAATATCTGGTATTCGAAGAGGTTCCAGTCGATCAGACTTGCAATTTTACTACATATATAACACGTGCAATATAGAGACACGAATTTGATGGAAAGACATTTAAGGCAGATTTTTCCTGGATTGTTACAGAGAAATTCTGATTTTCCATGGTGCCATACTCTGTCAGATTATAACACCAATTGTACTTAAAGATCCACAGACAAAACTGAAATGTTGACTTTCAAAATCTGATAAATTCGGATTGGAAGGTCACCTATGAAAACGATCAATTTTACTTATTGAAAATATTTCCAAATATCTGTGATACATATTCAAGCTCAATCGAACAATACTTTATTGAAATCGTAGTGTAACAGCTTACATTTCCATGGAAAATCATGCTTTCTTCGAAACTCCACTTCAAAACCTTTTGTCCTTGAACTTATGCTCTCTTATTTTAAGTACTCTATCTGTAGTAAAAGTGTAAGACTGATCGACTGTAACCTCCTCAAGAACTGGACATGGTCAAGAACGAAAAGTGGGATATATCCTAAAATGCGAAGCAATTCTTCAAAAACATTATACACGAGACAGTATATGATTTTGCTTGTGTTTGATCTTTCCTATGGCAATTAGTCACTGTATTCAAATGGTAAAATCAACATCGATATTATATGGCCTGATATTCCTCATTTCTTTTTTTTTTCTCGATGTAATCTAAAGATCAAATAAAAATATGCTGACAAATGAGAATTGAACGAAAAGTATAGAATTAAAGCAAATAATGGGTATTTTTTATAAGAAATATTAAGTTTTACTATGAAAATCTTTTTTTTCTTTAGCAATGATTAACGAACATTATTGTTCAGCTTAGGCTTGTCCAAAAGGAATAGTCCACTTCAATATATGCATTCCTTATGTTTTCTCTTCACATATTCAAATCTTAAGACAATTACAGATTATTTATTATCTCTTCTTTCGCTAGTTTATGTGTTTATTTTAAATATGAAGATACAGATTTGATTTTATTACAAAAAGAAAAGACTGACACATTACACACACACACACGCACACAAAATAAATATCTAATGGAAGGTTTTTTTTTCAATAGCAAGAATACTCTCTAATTTTCACCACAGGTGAGTTTCCCGTACCTCGCATATTATTTGATTTGCTTTCTGTAATGCCTAAAAAACAAAAACATCAGTTTTATCAAAGCTAAAAATAATTAAAATTACATCAAGCATTTCTTGTGCATCTTTACGTCGTTGTGCAATATGACTAGATTCATTAAGTAATTCGTCATGTTCATTAACTGATGTTTTATATAATAATGCAACAAGTTCACTTTGTAGTTGATCTTTGACAAAATTAACAAGAAAATGCATGATAGCTTTTGGTACACTATCTTGAATATTTTTCCGTACAATTAAAAAATATGAACGAATTAATCTTTCTGAACAAAAAATAAGATATATCAATGATAAAATTATAACCATAAATTATTTACCAATCACTTCACAATCACATTTTTCACGTGATGAAAGTTTTCGCTCATTGATAGTTGTCTAAAAAGAAAATAACGGATTTAATGATACTTTTTTCTTACAAAAAGATTCTTTTTTTTTTTTTATTTGTTATAGGTTTCATTGAAGAGAATAATTGCAACTAAAGATTTAGACTTTAATTAGCCACCAAACTTTAGTTCGCGATAGAAAAGTTTCCATCACCCTGAGTTGTTTTCACAACCACTTGCGCTCATCATACCAGAGCTCCTAATAATACACAGTACCGTAGAGGGCGATAAAAGACACGATATATGGTTGAGTGACTTGTTTTATAGGAACTATGCTGAAAATTATCGACTCTTATTCGAAATAGCAGACTTAATAGACGACACTGTTGATTATTCTTTGTGGAAAAGAAATCTCAATACAAAATTTCGATTGAATAATGTATTTGTCAATAGTATTATTCAGCTGTGACATACCAATAATTGTTCTCTGACCGACAAACTACTTTCGATATTCACATTATTGTTTTCAATCATGTCTTCTTCAGAAAATACTTTGTCTTCAAGTCCAATTACTCCTTCTGTTCGTGCATCGTTAACTACACAACTTTGCGCTGTTTCTCTGAGAAAAGCCTGCGTTTGTTGGAAAATGAAGCTAACATATATCAAATAATCAATAGTGAAACGAAGACTTTAAGCACACTAAAATGAACTGTGTCGTATTTATGTATTGCTCGCAATTGCGTCCAAGATTTCAGCACGAAAATATGACGGTGTCGCAATGTATCGTAATCTATTTGCTAACCCTTCACTCGTCATTTTTGTGTTGCGCGTGCAGCTACATATGAAAGACTTTGTTGAGTATACTGAATCTATGCATTTTTTGTATGTCTTTTATGCGAGATTATTTCTTCATTAGTCACTATTCGAGGACTCGTTGAGACATTGATTGATGTTCAAGAATGAGCTACCTCAAAACTGTCTGATCTAGATCAAACCCATTTGAACTGACCAGATCGTACCATCTTTGGCTCCAACAGTAGGTATTTTTAATTCTAATTAGGCTGAAAAATTAGTAAGCGTTCAATTCTGCATAAACCAAAAAATTACAGACGTGTCGAAGGCAAGACTCGAACCGTATTCTCAAAATGTGTCACAAAGTATGACATATGCGACACATTTTATGTCAGTGTGACAGCTGTATTTGAAAAGTTCTTGGCTTTCCAGTAATAAAAAATGATCATGGTGAATGAAAACAAATTCAAGGTTATGTGAGTTGCCATATTTTTGCTAAAGCACACTTAATTATGGTTCTTTAAGTGATACGAATTATTTGAACGAACGTGCGTGTATATTATAAATGACAAAACCCAAAACTACAACTAGCGAAGGATCACATCAACAAAAATCTGAATCATTGTTTTCGTCTCAAATAAAACCTGTAGGTTTAAGCGAAAAGACTGAAAAATTTGAGTGCGTAATGGTTATATGGTGATATATAATCATTTTCATTAATCTATGGCAAAGTTTTTTTCAGAATACTCCATCACTAAGCTGTATTGTGCAAGACAAGACATAGGGTGAAAATATTTACATTGTTAGGAGCTCTATATCATACACATCCAATATGTTCAAAAAATGAAAATCAATTGTGTAAGTAACATTAAAAATTTGAACGAAAAACCATTGAATCACCTAATTGTGACTAAGACAAAGATTAGGTTACATCTCTGAAGTTTCTCCAATGTTAGAATAGCGTTAGAAAAGTATCTATAGAAAGACATATAAATTCGTTAATCAATATAAAGACATATATGATAATCTCTTCGTTGTAGAACTTTATCTTGGTAACAAATGTAGATGCACAGTGAATGAACAGTCAGTGACAGCAAACATTTATCCCCATTCAGTAATGTAATATACCGAGTGTGCTAAAATACATGGTCATGTCATATTTACATCGCCAAGTACATATTATTAAAAAAACAAAATATACTATGAGATGCAGCGAAAAAAGTTCTACAATTTACAAACAAACACATCTTTTATTTTGAAAATAGGCAAAAAATTCGATTCGACCAGTTCTCGATGCTGCGAACATAATCATTTTTTTGTTAAATGATGAATACGCTTTTTTTATCTCATCAATTGAAGAAAATTCTATTCATTGACGAAAAATTTTTTTCATTAAAACGTGTTCATATTGCGAATTCGATAGGAGGCAGAAGAACGAAGTTATATAAATCAAAAGGCTAAGTATTCAAAAAGAATTATGGTTTGATCAAGTATTTCTAACAGTGATCCGACGCCTTCAATTATATTTGAATTTAGTGAAGCATTGCCACATGAGACTTATATTGAAGTTATTCTTCGATATGCTCAATCTAAAGGTAAACGGTTACTATGAAGAAATATCATCTATCAATAAGAGAACGTGATGCCTTATATAGACGTGACGAAACATTAGTATGGTAAGAAGAGTATTTCGTAGACAAACACAGATGGCTACCAAATAGTTCTTATCATAACGTTTTGAATTACTATGCATGGGGCACTGTCATTCATAATATGTAATAGGATAATATTAAAAGCCGTGACTGTTTAATTGATGAACTAACAAAAGAAATACGTTGCTTGCAAAAAAATGATCTTGCTTGTAATGTCAACACTTAGTCGAACAGAATGTTGTCTATTTTTAGAATACGATGTGCATTTCTTCATAAATTATAGAGCTTTTTTCGGGGCATCTTGTGGTATATTTTGTTTTTTGAACGAAACGTATGAGGCAATGAGAAGATGGCATGACCATGCATCTTGGTTCATCCGTTATATGACAGGTAAAAAGTAAATTAATTAAGCATTAGTTTATTTACGATGTTATATTGGCCTATTTTAAATGTTAATCTATGCGTTCATCTTTTTTAACCATGTATTTATCTATCTTTTTTTAAGCGACTATTATATTTGTCCTATAGTTACTATTTCTCATTATGATTCATGCCATCTTCTTTTTGTGTCTTTTATTTACTCATTAGTTTCCTTTATTCTGCTGTTTGTTTTTGATAGATCCAATTCAAGAGTTTCTCTGTGTGTAAACAATAGTAGCTATTAGTTAATGTTAAGTTTTCTTTTTACTAGTAGCTATCCATACTAGTTTTCCGAACGGGATGAAGCGAGATAAGAATCAAGAAAACCTCGCTAGTTCGAACTATGGTTGCTCATATGAAATAACTTCTCATTTTTTGTAAATGCCTTTCCAAATATTCTCTTCATTTGGTTTTGTGCACAGGTTGACTAAGTCAGTTCAATGACAAAAATATTAGATCTTCTATATAATCGATCACGTTTTCAAGCACATTGATAGTGCATAATAACTAACAAATCGACAAAGCTATTGCTAAAACCTCGTAATGAAAAACAAGACAGAAATTACATTTTTTACTCCGTCGAAGATAAATCCAAAAGTCATATTCTAATAAACATCATAAATACAATACTTACTCCGTCGCCTAGTGGTGCCATCGACATCGTTGCTGGAGAAGTAAGAGTAGCATTCGATAGATATGAAGAAGAATGTACACCATTAGCCTGTGGTTCATTACCATCATTACGTTGAGTTAATGTTCGATTTATCGAACTTGATTTTCCTGATGTCGATTGATCGTTATTCTAAAACAAAAAAAGTAAACAACAATAAAACTTTTCTTATTAACATTTGTTCAAACTAACTCGATCATCATGTTTGGACTTATGTTGTGTTTGATTTGTATTTGCTATATTATTTCCACCAGTTAACGCTCTGTGAATAACTGTAGCTTCATGAAAATCAGGATGTTTTGTATTAATATACGCTAATTCAATACCAACAAGATTTTCTACCATACGATTTGTCTCGGGTAAACGACGACGTAATAAATGTGTAACAACATCAACAATTTTTTCATGTAAACGTGGAAAACGAATAAATTCCTGCTAAAAAAATAGAGTGTATAAAAGGCGCGTTCAATTCAAACTCTCCAAACGATTCTATCTTTGAATTATTTATAGATTATTCGGTAGAACTTTGTAAGATAATTAAAAAATGCCTGATTTTTTAACTTTACCAGTGCCTAAATTTTCATCCAAAAATTTTCGGAAAAATTCAAGAGTATTCTTTATTAAAACCGCGATTTTTCCTTTAAAACTGAATAAATCAGTTGTAATCCATTTTGAAAGCTTGAAAATGTGTTTTTTTCACTCACAAGAGAAGTTCTCTAAGTGAAAAATCATTTTTGAGTCGAGACTAAGTACATTTTGTAAACTCAAATGAGCTATGAGTGCTCTGAAAAGTCCATGTTCTTATCTTATTGCTGCAGAGATACTGCACTCTCCCTCGGACAAAAAAAACGGCCTTTTTCCATTTCATTTTTGCATCACTTAATATGTTGTTTTAAAAAAACAAAATATACCAGGAGATGCAGCGTGAAAAGAACTACAATTTACAAAGTAAATCTTATTTTAATTCTGTACTTTTCGTTTTCCAAAAAAGCAAAATTCAGTGCGACCAATATTCGACGCTGCGAAAGGATCATTTTTCTACACCAATGAAAAATTCCTTTCTTCTTATTTCAATAAACTGTTCTGTGTAAATTGTAGAGCTTTTCACGTTGCATATTGTGGTATATTTTATTTTTTTTTACAAAAACATATTAGTTGATAAAAAGATGAAATAAGGAAAAAGGAATTTCTCGTTCGCATAGAAAAAAA